AGTACATGTTAGGCTTATGTCGAGGTCCTTCGCAACCTCCTGACTAACTCCTGGGTATCTATTTACTCAAAAGTTCTCTATGGACTCTTAAAAAATAGAGTCCATAGTCATACTCTACGGACTGTATTTTTCATTATTTATTTTTACTACTAGGTGGACAGGGACATTAGGTGATAGGAATCGCGCCCAACCATTTCTGTCTCGCCCGGAATAATAATAATGTAACAGAAATATTATGTATTTTATTATTATTATTAGTTAAATTTAGTTTACCCTGTCAAATAATAAAACATGTGAATTAAAATTTATTTTAATAATCTTCATTAACACTGCCTTTCAAACTCCCAGGGTTGGAAACGCATTTCAAACAGGAATTTTTACATAAAACTGTGTCGCCATCTCTAGTTGCCTCAGTAGGGGGAGATAAGACCGAAACAAGGAATAATTATATACAAGAAGATCCCCGTCTCTAGCCTGTCTTTTGGCGTCACTCTCTACTTAGAGAATAAGCACTACGTACACTCTCAGTTTACATTAATGTGACGAGGGTTCGAACCTACGTCCGGAAGGATCCCAGACGCTGCCTTAATCGACTGAGCTACGACATGGTTCTTTTAAGGGTGTAACCTCGCTGGAGACTAATCCATTCACTCGCTCACAAAATACTGGGTTCGGAACCCAACAGTCTTGGAGCCAAGTTGGTCAATGTGACAGTGATAGACAGAATAATATTGACAGAGGTACAGTATGTGTTCACTACAAAAAGATATGTGTCAAAATAGAAGCGACGTGTACAAAATGTAACCAGGACTTACCGTTCAGTACATGTATGTATATTTCAGCGCCATTCACGGTATACATGGGCTGTGGGCGCCCGCGATTGCCAGAGAGCACCAACACGATGGCAACAGGTGGTGGAACCTGGCCACACAGCTGGCGACAGGTGGTGGAACCTGGCCACACAGCTGGCGACAGGTGGTGGAACCTGGCCACACAGCTGGCGACAGGTGGTGGAACCGGGCCACACAGCTGGCGACAGGTGGTGGAACCTGGCCACACAGCTGGCGACAGGTGGTGGAACCTGGCCACACAGCTGGCGACAGGTGGTGGAACCTGGCCACACAGCTGGCGACAGGTGGTGGAACCTGGCCACACAGCTGGCGACAGGTGGTGGAACCTGGCCACACAGCTGGCGACAGGTGGTGGAACCTGGCCACACAGCTGGCAACAGGTGGTGGAACCTGGCCACACAGCTGGCAACAGATAGTGGAACCTGGCAACACAGCTGGCAACAGATAGTGGAACCTGGCCACACAGCTGGCAACAGATAGTGGAACCTGGCAACAGATAGTGGAACCTGGCAACACAGCTGGCAACAGATAGTGGAACCTGGCAACAGATAGTGGAACCTGGCAACACAGCTGGCGACAGGTGGTGGAACCTGGCCACACAGCTGGCGACAGGTGGTGGAACCTGGCGACAGGTGGTGGAACCTGGCCACGCAGCTGGCGACAGGTGGTGGAACCTGGCAACACAGCTGGCAACAGATAGTGGAACCTGGCAACAGATAGTGGAACCTGGCAACACAGCTGGCAACAGATAGTGGAACCTGGCCACACAGCTGGCAACAGATAGTGGAACCTGGCAACACAGCTGGCAACAGGTGGTGGAACCTGGCGACACAGCTGGCGACAGGTGGTGGAACCTGGCGACACAGCTGGCGACAGGTGGTGGAACCTGGCAACACAGCTGGCAACAGGTGGTGGAACCTGGCAACACAGCTGGCGACAGGTGGTGGAACCTGGCAACACAGCTGGCGACAGATAGTGGAACCTGGCAACACAGCTGGCAACAGATAGTGGAACCTGGCAACACAGCTGGCGACAGGTGGTGGAACCTGGCAACACAGCTGGCGACAGATAGTGGAACCTGGCAACACAGCTGGCAACAGATAGTGGAACCTGGCAACACAGCTGGCGACAGATAGTGGAACCTGGCAACACAGCTGGCGACAGGTGGTGGAACCTGGCAACACAGCTGGCGACAGGTGGTGGAACCTGGCAACACAGCTGGCAACAGATAGTGGAACCTGGCAACACAGCTGGCGACAGATAGTGGAACCTGGCAACACAGCTGGCAACAGATAGTGGAACCTGGCAACACAGCTGGCGACAGGTGGTGGAACCTGGCAACACAGCTGGCGACAGGTGGTGGAACCTGGCCACACAGCTGGCGACAGGTGGTGGAACCTGGCAACACAGCTGGCGACAGGTGGTGGAACCTGGCAACTAAGATTCGCTACCCGGAACAAAGGAGTTCCAAGCAGCACGGTCTATGGTGAGCCCGTGTAGTGAGACACTACAGGAGTACAAGGCCGTGTTCGACAATGATACCAGCAAACGAACAAGACAGCCCCCTAGTCCTTCACAACACAATGTAGAAGCCATCAATACACACATCACAACACTCCTCACCTTGTCCTAACTGTCTAATACTAAAAATAATCCTGTTTTAGAAGGTTGAGAACCCCTTTCCTGTCTTCCCTCCTGTCTTTTCCTACCTGTCTCCCCCCTGTCCCCCTTTCTCTCAGGGCATTTCAAGTTTTCTCTTTCTTCACAAAATCTCATTTTACGCATTTCTTTTCGTTTAATTTTAGCGCGTGTAGAAACCATTTATTATTCAACAAGGTGTCGCGAAGACAATCACAGTGGAAAGAGGAGTCTTGTGAGAGCGTGAAAAACTGAGCTTGGAGGAGGAGGTGGAGCGTGGTGCTTGGGCTAAGGTGTCCAAGTGCCAGTGTCAAGTGTCAGGGAAGAGTGCCAGGCAGGAGTGTCAGGGAGGAGTGCCCAGAGTGAAGTGCCAGGCTCAAGTGCCGGGGGACATGTGGACGAGAGACCTAATTAACGCTAGGTTGCTGCTCTCGTCTCGCTCAAGGACAGGTGTGAGCTCTGGAAGATTGGCCCCCTCCAAGCCCTCCACTACCTCCTCCACACGCCCTCCACCACCCCCTATACACGCCCTGCACCTCCAAGCCCTCCACCACCCCCCTCCACACGCCCTGCACCTGCAAGCCCTCCACCACCCCCCTCCATCACCCCCTCCACACGCCCTCCATCACGCCCCTCCACACGCCCTCTTTCACATCAAACAACTAGTCTTTTGTTAGGTTTTTGGGGACGTCCACTCCTCGCCAACCCTGAGAGCGGACCGGCTGCTGTTGCCACTGTTTCTCGGGCATACAGTTGAACCATCAGTATAGCTCAGCCCGTTCTCCTAACACAACGTCGCGTGTTGACGTATACTCTCGTCCTAAGGCCAAAACTCGTCTTACCAGCAGATGGAAGCGGCGCGCGAAATTGACATACTGTCCCGTTTTCTGTTTGGGGTCCTCTAGTAGGTTAGGATAAGCGCACTTTAGTACGACCCTTTCTTGACGTTGAAAACCTTAGGTCAGGCTGCGCTATGTGAAAGGGAGAATGGGAAGGAAGGAGAGAGGGAGAATTGGCAAAAGAGAATGGGAAAGAGGGAGGAAAGATAATTATAGAATTTACTGTGAGGTGAAGTTGGTTGATGGGTTATGTTAAACAACATAAAAACCTTTGAATTCAAACTTAAAATTTTTAAACATGATGTCTGTCGACAATGGCACTTTTAAACATTTCCTAAACGTAAAAAGAAAAAAAATGGCATTGAAATTCATGAGAAAACAGACATGCAGAGCATTCAAATGTAATTTTTGAGCAACATTGATTCAATTCCTGATAATTTTTTTCTAAGATTTACTAAATTCAGGACATTTGATGACATTCATACCTTGAGAAGATCGTAACATTAGACTGAATTTGAAAATGTTGCAGATTTATATAATTTTGGGGGTTTGACAAAGCCGCTCAATTTGGAAGCAAACATTTGTCGACTTTAAGAGCTAGAAAATCTTGAAAGAGATCAGTTAGTGACTGAATTAACGCAGAAAATGAGGTTTGGAAACTCCGGAATTCCATTCCTGACACTTTTGATTGTTTGAAAATTCTCGCAATGGCAGTATTAACTATTTTCATCGACATATTCATGCAAGTCACATTCAGTGATGAACTTTTATCAAGTTTAAGACTTATTGACGAAACTAAGTGATGTATACCTAAGTGAACAACCACATACAAGCCTGATGTAAAACATTTCACCGTTGATACAGCACCAAAAGTCTTACTCAGAAAAAAAACACATTTTTTCCTCTATTTTTCATATTTAACAAAATGAACGTGAAGCTTATAATTTCTTGATCACGTTTCTTGTTGCTTATAAGGTAAAATTCTATTTATAAATTGCATGCATGATATATTTCAATAAAATTATTGACAAATTTACATTTTTAAACAGGCTTTTTAAAAGCTTTAATTATTTCACCCCTGTTATAATTTAGCTAATAGTAAAACATTCAGTATACACGTAAATAACAAGCCTCCCTTTTCCTTAAAAAAAAATATTTAATAGTACTGCTAATTTATTTTATTTTACTTCTTGGGAATAACTAGTTATTAACATACAGTAATTCCTAGTCGAGTAATATATACAAAAAAATATGGGTAATTAGCTTACACTCATTCTGCCGAGTAAACACACACACACATGGGCGACTTTTCTGCACAATTCTCACAAGAAGAACTAACTCACTTAAGCCTTAAGAGCGACCACGTGACCACCGTCTCTCCCTCACAACTTCCCGGATTGTCATTACTAAGGCCTCTCTCCGTTTTACTTGCAGATTTGATGCTTCTTATATCTCAAATTCTACGCTTTTCGTCGCTCATTTGCACCATTCAACTAAACCACCTTCTTTGCATGCAACTTGCTCAGTTTGCATGTACGCTGGGCGCTGGGAGGACAATAGCTGAGACTGTAGAAGGTGTCAACACAGACGGCCTGGAATGCTGAACGGGAGTTGTAGGATTTCAGTAAATAACTAATATGGGGCGTTGCTGGGAGGGACTTCACACACTATTCCCGTGACAACTAACCAGCTCGGTAGTGGTCCAGAGTGACCCGCGAGCAGTCTGATAGTGTGGTGAGTTCCACTCGTGTTTTGCTCTATTGTTACCCCAAGTTCGTGCCTCGTTCTATTGGTACTTCAGCCTCTAGCTTCCCTGATCGTCCCTTGCTCTACTGGTACTTCAGCCTCTAGCTTCCCTGTTCGTACCTTGATCTACTGGTACGTCAACCTCTAGGTTCCCTGTTCGTACCTTCCTCTACTGGTACCTCAGCCTCTAGCTTCCCTGTTCGTACGTCAACCTCTACTGGTACCTCAGCCTCTAGCTTCCCTGTTCGTCCCTTGCTCTACTGGTACCTCAGCCTCTAGCTTCCCTGTTCGTCCCTTGCTCTACTGGTACCTCAGCCTCTAGCTTCCCTGTTCGTCCCTTGCTCTACTGGTACCTCAGCCTCTAGCTTCCCTGTTCATGCTATACTCTTTTGGAAGCTCAGTCTCCATGCTCGTCTTGTACTAAGGGTCGCAGCGCCAGACCTTATCACAATAAATAATAATTCATTGTGTCGGGGGACAGGCAGCCAGTATATACATACAGTACATTATACTGAACATAATGTATATATATTGTACATATACATACAATTATTTGTATATGGAATGGTATATTCCTAGCACGGAGAATATATTTGCTGAATTAGACTTTATTATTGCGAATTTATTTGGCAATTTAGGCTTCTAATACTGGCAGTGTCTTTGGCAAGTTAGGTTACTAGTTATGTTTCCATTTATCAAGGTTTGCTTCTGTTCCATTATTTTTGTAAATCAACTATATGCCTTTAATATAAAACCTGGTGACTAATTGTTGTGCCTTGTATGAAATGTTATGACAAATGAACAAATCCACAAGGGCTGTGACGAGGATTCGAACCTGCGTCCGGGAGCATCCCAGACGCTGCCTTAATACCAATGACAAATACCCAATTTTTGGGGTAATCTCAGTGTCCTCTAATGCCGCTTGATTTAACCCCGTTTAACCCTTACTCTATGACTCTACTGGGATGACCTGAAATATCTTTTTGATTTCCTCACACAGCTTCCTGTCATTCTCTGTAAGCTTGTCCTTCTCTATGCCTAGTTTAATTACTTGTTGTTTCCCTTCTACTTTGTGTTGCGTTTTAAAAAATATATATGTTCTCTTTTAATTCACTATTTAGGGTTCATTGTTTTTGTTAAAAATTATTTAATAAATAATGGGATTATTGACGAATGCAAATCACCATTTTGGCTCCAATCGTGTGGCTGGCTTGAACAGTCTTCTAACTTCTTGAAGTTAGATTGTCAACACTGTAGTATGTGCATTAATTCGCGTAGTAAATTAGGATTTAGTCCTATGATAAGTTAAGATTTAATTCCTACGATAAGTTATGCTTCGGTCCTGTGATTAGTTTGGCTTCATTCAAGTTGTAAGTTTAAATTTATTCCTGTGTTACGTAGTCTCATTCGTGTGATAAGTTAGGCTTCATTCCTGTAGTCATTTACGCTTCAGTTATGTAATAAGTTGTACTTAATGTAAAATATTCTTCTAGTTCTCGTATATCTAGTGCCAGATTTTAGTGACATCTAATCTATAATGTTGGTAGTTATGTTTACAATGGTAAGTTTAAGTGTGGGCTGTTTTACAGTAGATTTGTTTATAATGCCAGTTTTTACAAGTCACACAAACAATCGTTTTGTATTTATGTTTTTTGAACAAGTTGAATCAAAGTTTGAGTGTATTGTCGACGTGATTCTGAATGTTATAAGCTGTATTTAAAAGCTTTACCGAGTGTATAACTTGATCACGGGAGTCTATGCTGTTGTTGGCTTCTGTTCTGTCCCTTTCTCTTATTCCTCTCTTTTCTCATCTACCGTCTGGAATAATTTTTGTTCCCCTTCTACCTCCTTCAGCTCTCTATTTCTCCTCCACGTCTTCTTTCTCTCCTTGTTTTTCTCCCGTTTCCTTCCTATCTCCTTGTTTCACTCGCCCCTTCTTTCCCTATTCTTGTTTCTCTTCCACATCCTCCTCCTCCCTGATTCTCTTCCGCCTCCTAGTCCTTTCCACTGGCTCTGTTCCTTCCTATGTCCCTGTTCTTCTCCTTGCTTCTGTTCTTCCCTGTGTCGTTGTTCTTGTACCTGCTCCTGTTCCTCTGTTCTACTTTCTGCTTCTATCCCTATTCCCACTTGACCTGCTTCTTAAGCCGTCTGTCATGTAAGGCATCTTGGGGGAAGCCTCATGCCTTCAGGCACAGTTGACTGACATTCTCCTCTCACTGATAAACCCTAATAATAACATGCCTTTATAAATGTTTTTTGCACAAACGTTGCCTCTCTGGACATATCTACCACTCATAGAAATAAAAAATAATTGTGTTTAAATATTGCAAAGACGTCCTTTATTCAAGCATAATATCAATAAACTTTTTATTAACAGGTCGCCTCACTAGGCTTCATCTAGAAGCCAGCGATACTAGGCTTGTGGTTCACAGTTTGGGGTCACAGGATTCTTCACTATTCTATCTCTATTTGACAGTAAATTGATAGGACATACCACATTATGATATAGTTGATATGGATTAGCGAAAGACGCTACTGAAAAGGAAGATTCTGAAATTTTCCAAATTCTGAAATTTATCCAAAACTCTCCATGAAGCAACAGATTCGTCGTCGTTTTCAACTTATTTGACGACGGTGGACTCGACTAAAACTTATCGCTGAAGTATTAATCAATATGACGAAGTTACAGACAAACCTAACCCACAATACAAGGCGTACAATTACCCCACAAGACCAACAATTAATTTTGGTTAAGCTTCCACTTGGTCATGTGTATTAGGAATGAATAGTCAGCCTCCGAACTCGTCACACGCAGGCGATGAGTCACAATAACGTGGCTAAAGTATGTTGACACACACTAGAAGGTGAAGGGACGACGACGTTTCGGTCCGTTCTGGACCATTCTCAAGTGGATTGTGAGAATCGACTTGATTAAAAAATCGATTATAAATCGACAATCGACTTGAGAATGGTCCAGGACGGACCGAAACGTCGTCGTCCCTTCACCTTCTAGTGTGTGGTCTGGTCAAATTGTCACACCTAAATTTGGAGAACTTAAGGCTCAAATGCACTCCCTCACCAAGTCCTTGAATGTCAACAAACGCCTTCTTATCGCTTTGACACTCTTGACATGCCAAACAAAGTCACCCCACGCAGGTGTGGAAGGGTGCCTAATAAATCTGCGTTAACAAATCCACAAGGGCCGTGACAAGGGTTCTAACTTACGTCCGAGAGGATCCCAGACGCTGCCTTAATCGACTGAGCTACGACAGCGTCTGGGATCCTCTCGGACGTAGGTTCGAACCCTCGTCACGGCCCTTGTGGATTTGTTCATTTGATGCATCACGCTATTGTGATTTCTGTGTGTAAATCTACGTTGTTTATTGCAGACAATCTCAAACCTAGGACGACTAAATTGTTTATTATTTGAATTTTGTAATCAATCGGCTTCATTTTTCAACATGAAATTTATCTATTTTATTTTTTGTATATACTAGGTAATACAGCCCGAGACTCAAGAAACAAGAAATGTAAATATGCCAAGCCTTATATAGCATTGTCCGATAGCTGGAGACAATCTTCCCGGTTGATGAGTGGTGGTGGTTTTGGCTGTCACTGATAACATCATGACAGCCATCGTCCGCCCTCTGGAACACCGTATCTACTCCTGGTTGATCGCCAACACCACCAGACCAACCAACGACACCCACTTCCCCGGCCCCCAGCCCACAGGAGCCGTCGAGGTCGACTGGCTGCAGGGAATCGACCTTCCGCTCCAGGATGTATCTCTAGGCACAACCACTCTCCTGGCATTGGTGACATGCTTCCAAGGCACAGGAAGACTCCTCCGTTCCACGAATTCTTTGACTGAGAAGTGGAATGCTACGTTCCACGATGTCGTCGTTGTTAACACCTTCAAGACGTTTTTGGGACTCGCCCTCCTGTTGGTGTCAGTGCCGTTGGTGCTTCCTATTACATGCATCTTTTGGGGGTGTTCCTGTTGCGTCAGTCTCCTCTATACCCTCAAGTTTGGATCGTGCGTCACGAAGGTCGAAGGAATGGATAACATGTGGGGCGTCGAATCTCAAGAAAGTCGACCATTTATCACAATCTCAATCGTACTGTCCGGCGTTCCGAACCTCGACAAAATCACTCGACACATCCAAACAATGATCATGGACAAGAAAGACTCCAAGGGAGAATATAAATACAAAAAATTTCGACAGGTCTTTTCTCAGACTTACGGCTACAACTCGTGGACCAACGTCGAGGACTTCAAGATAGAGAACCACGTGCGGGTGATCAACTTGCGCAAGCTGTACTCATCAGAGGCTGACTCGGGGAACACTTCGCATCAAGCCGAATCCCATAGCGCTGACGCGGCTCCGGCAGGTCCCACTCCAGCCACCAATGTTGACGACGATGAGTTGGTACTTCGATACTTGAATGAGGAGGGCGAGGCGGCACTCCCCCCCGACCGTCCACCCTGGGAGATGATCCTGCTCGCCAGAGAAGATAACAGGTACGCTGCCAATTTTACCCCCCTAAAATTACCACAGTATAGTAATTGTACTTTAATTTACTGAGGAGGTGAGGGAATCGCTGGTGGCTTCTCTCACCGCTTCCCTATGTAAACACGTGTCCAAGGGGGCGTTCACCTGTTTAGATACTAGGTAACACAACGCTATAATCAAGCATTACGTAGCCTGGACATTCGACCAGCAATCATAAAAGCAGAGCCTCGATGAGCACAGTTTATACTAGGTGTGGGGTTGACATACGGGGTGTGTTTGGAGTTGACATACGGGGTGTGTTTGGAGTTGACATACGGGGTGTGTGTTTGGAGTTGACATACAGGGTGTCACGGCAGGTACAACGCTGTGGTCCGCCTCCACCACGCCATCGCCGATGGAGTGTCGTTGATTCGTCTGTGGATGGAAGCGCTGGTGGACACTCCCCTTCAACCACCCCGCGTCGGCCCACCTCCCCCCAGCACCATCGTCAGGTAGGTCCTCTCCGCCTGGCACTATTAAATACTGGATCTCCTCCTCTTGCCAATTCAGACAAAGAAACAGAAAGCTACAAGTAAAATATTAAGAACATAAGAACATAAGAACAAAGGTAACTGCAGAAGGCCTATTGGCCCATACGAGGCAGCTCCTATTCTATAACCACCCAATCCCACTCATATACTTGTCCAACCCGCGCTTGAAACAATCGAGAGACACCACCTCCACCACGTTACGCGGCAATTGGTTCCACAAATCAACAACCCTGTTACTGAACCAGTATTTACCCAAGTCTTTCCTAAATCTAAACTTATCCAATTTATACCCATTGTTTCGTGTTCTGTCTTGTGTTGATATTTTTAATACCCTATTAATATCCCCCTGTTATGTCCATTCATCCATTTGTAAACCTCTATCATGTCACCCCTAACTCTTCGCCTATCCAGTGAATGCAACTTAAGCTTTGTTAATCTCTCTTCATATGAAAGATTTCTAATTTGGGGAATTAACTTAGTCATCCTACGTTGGACACGTTCAAGTGAATTTATATCCATTCTATAATACGGCGACCAAAACTGAACTGCATAATCTAAATGGGGCCTAACCAGAGCAAGATATAGCTTAAGAACCACACCAGGTGTCTTGTTACTAACGCTTCGATTAATAAATCCCAGTGTCCTATTCGCCTTATTATGAACATTCATGCATTGATCCTTTTGTTTTAAATTCTTACTAATCATAACTCCCAGATCCCTTTCGCAATCCGACTTCGCAATCTCAACACCATCTAGCTCGTATCTTGTAACTCTATCATCATTACCTAGCCTCAGAACTTTACATTTATCAGCATTAAACTGCATTTGCCAATCCTTTGACCATTTCAAAACCCTATCTAGATCAACTTGAAGTGATAGCGAGTCGTCCTCCGAATTAATTTCCCTACCGATTTTCGTATCATCGGCAAATTTGCAAATGTTGCTACTCAAACCTAAATCTAAATCATTTATATATATTATAAACAACAGAGGTCCCAGGACAGAGCCCTGACTTTTCGTATCATCGGCAAATTTGCAAATGTTGCTACTCAAACCTGAATCTAAATCATTTATATATATTATAAACAACAGAGGTCCCAGGATAGGCCCTGACCTATTGTGCTGGACTTCGTCTCCCTGTGCCGTTTGTTGCAGTTGTCTAGGCCTTCTGAATCTCTAGAAGTCGAGTGTGCATTGAGATATCTCTTTCGATGGTCTGGTACATTTCCTTCACTGGTGGCCCACTGGAGTATGGTGCCAAGCATAGAGAGATAGGTTCCAGGTACATCAAAACAACTAGGGATCCAAGGCTGCTAGTTTCATTTTTTCCATCACCACAGCGTGGCAGTCCAGAGGGGAAACACCATCAAACTATCCATTATTATTTTGTATAAGTAACCTTTCCTATTTAGCATACTGAAGCATTACATAAACAATAATGGAAAATTAGCGTGTGTTTTGTAAATTATCATAATCTGCGTTCTCCACATTCTTGCCGTAACTTCTCGTGTACATTATCTTATATTTCAAGATAAAAGGTTTTTCCCAATAGGAATTCTGATCGATAACCGACTCAGCACTTCCAAAATAATTCAAAGTCAAAACCAAGACACGTTAACTCTGACCAATTGCTTCCCGGTAAAAATATTGGTAACAGATACAGACCAATTATTATACCGAATAGTTGTACATCTAGACAATGTCATTCAAGTGTGCTTGGTAATGTTGGGTGTCAGAGCGGCCTTGATGGTGTGGTCGGCGCTGGTGCTGCCTCTGGGACTGCTGAAGGTGGTGGCCAACTTCGACTACAACAGCCTCCACGGTCGCCCCCTCTCCGGCAGGAAGGTAAACATTCTTCTGTAGATTAGTGTTGTAAAGTCAGCCTTTTCTCTACTCTGCCTCCGGGTAAACAGTTTTAAGAATTTTTTTAAATCGATTAAGATTAATTGTAAGATGGTCAAATGCGTTAGAGACTGTTATCGCGACAGTATGGACTAGGGCTAGATTCACGAAGAAGTTACGCATACACTTTACGAACCTGTACATCTTTTCTCAATCTCTGGCGGCTTTGTTTACAATTATTAAGCAGTTAATGAGCTCCGAAGCACCAGGAGGCTGTTTATAACAATAACAACAGTTGATTGGGAAGTTTTCATCCTGGTAAACTCTTTAATAAATGTAACCAAAGCCATCAAAGATTGAGGAAAGATGTACACGTTCGTAAGTACTTGCGTAACTGCTTCGTGAATCTGGCCCCTGAACCTGACCATGCGGCTCGTCTGCTCCAGGTGATGGCAGCGTCGAGAGCCATGCCGCTGGCGATGCTGAAGAAGGTGAAGTTGGCCGCCCACGCCACCGTCAACGACGTCCTCATGACCTGCCTGGCTGCCGCCCTCTCCAAACACTTCTCCCGCAGGTACGGAACCAGGGTTTCAGGGAGCACCCCTACAGGAAAACCAACCACTTGGGCTGGACGGTAGAGCGACGGTCTCGCGCCACGCAGGTCGCCGTTCAACCCTCGTCCCATCTCAAATCCTTATCCTGACCGATTGATTGATTGATGAAGATTAAGCCACCCAAGAGGTGGCACGGGCATGAATAGCCCGTAAGTGGTGGCCCTTTTGAGCCATTACCAGTATAAAAAGATGACACTGGAGATGTATGGAGGCGCAACTGCACCCTGCGTGACGGGAGATGTCTCCCGGACCAAATGGTGACCAAATGGTGTATCCTGACCCACCTTCCCAGTGTTATATAGTCGCAATGACTTGGCGCTTTCTCCTGATAGTTCCCTTCCACGTGACTCCGTGAAGTGGATGCCTCTACAAGGAGGGAGTAGAGGCATCCACTTCATCCAAGAGCCTAGTGGTTCTTGGAAATTCATCCTCAGTCAACCAAATTAGGGTACACGCTTTGCGTGCTAATGGCTTTGCAAGAATGTATTACTCACCCGCCACCATATTTGCCTCGGGTAAACATTGCATCATCTTGTATATGAATAAATAAATGACATTTAAAAACTAAAAAAAAAGTAAGTTGTCCGAAATTTTAAAATAAATCTAAAAAAATATTGCTAAAATACTTTCTTATGGCACTGAACAATGTAGTTGATTATAAAAAAAAATCGTACTAGCCCCTTGAACACTGAGCTGCAAGAAAATGCTGAGAGAACTAAACTCAACTACACTTAAAAAAAAATAGAGAAGGGAAAGAGGATACATGACCCCGACATATAAAATTCTCAGAGGCATTGACTAAAGAGGACAAAAACGAAATGTTTAGTATAAACAGGATGAAAATTAGCAACTCAGATGACCCGTAGCATCCAGACAATGAAGTTATATATGAAGCGAGTGTGTAAAGAGTAACTGCACAGGGCGACCGGGGATTAAATGACGGAGCCCAGGAGCTGAATGCCGTCCAGCAAGCGAGTACCGTTCTCATACTCCTGACGTGAATGAGAAACGCACCTCTGCCATAGTTGTAAGTGCTGAAACGTCCGCAGGTCAGAGGACGTGCCGAAGGTGACGGCCGCGATCCCAGTCAGTCTGCACGGCGGGCGGCAGCCTAGTGCGCTCACCAACTGCTACTCCGTCGCCACCGTCAACCTCCCGGCTGGCCGAGCCCTCACCCCCACCGCTAGGCTGGCAGCCACTAAGGTACGTGCAGGTGTTGTGAAGCTAGGTTATGAAGTTGTGGCGGTGCTGTGCCACCAGTTGATGAGGCACGTTGACATTCTCGTATATGGGGAATGGATGAAATCATTCAAGATGAAGGGACGACGACGTTTCGGTCCGTCCTGGACCATCCATTCTCAAGTTGATGGAGAATGGTCCGACTTGATGCATCGACTTGGAAATGGTCCAGGACGGACCGAAACGTCGTCGTCCCTTCACCTTCTAGTGTGTGGTCTGGTCAACATACTTCAGCCACGTTATTGTGACTCCTCGCCTGCAAATCATTCAAAAGCTTCTGGTGCCTAAAAGTAGCGGTACTCAACCTGAATCTGGGTTATACTGTCTGGTGGACGTTCTGTGTCATTCCACATACACGGATGGCAGACCTTAACGAGTAACTTTTAATACTGGTATTTTCAATCTTTTATGTCTGAGTGAGATATTTTGTCAGACCTTATGTCCTCTTTATCAAATACAATGTCATTTCTATCGTATATAATGTCATCTCCATCATATACAATGTCATATCCATTATATACAATGTCTTTTCCATCAAACACTATGTCCTCTTCAAATACCATGCCCACCAAATTCACTCCATACGTATTAATGATCAAGAAATCACTACACATGACATCCCAACAATCAGCTCAAGCACAACGCTGTGCTTTAAACCTTTGTACTTTGTACCAACGCTTAAGGGAAAGGTTGGCACCTTTCCCTTAAGGTCCCAACCTTAATAAAGGATAAGATACCTTACCATTAAAGTTGGCACCATCAGGATAAAGCACTAAGCCATTAGAGGGGTTACTACTCCAGCATAAGAACTCCCCGTTGAGGTTCGCCCTTGAACTTGCAGAAGGTGCTGGACGGGATGAAGCGAGACCCGACCCTGGAGGCGGTGTTCTGGGTGGTGAGGGTGATCAGTCAGGTCCTCCCAGCCCGCGTGGCCCAGCTCCTGGTCTCCGGCAAGGGGGTGACCCTCGCAGCCAGCAACGTTCCAGGTTAGTGTCTCTCTTCTCGATATATTATTACTATTTTGTTTCATATGCTCGGTCAATGTCCAGGGGCCAGATTCACGAAGCAGTTACGCAAGCACTTACGAACCTGTACATCTTGTCACAATCTTTGGCGGCTTTGTTTACAATTATTAAGCAGTTAATGAGCTCCGAAGCACCAGGAGGCTGTTTATAACAGTTGATTGGCAAGTTTTCGTGCTTGTAAACTGTTTAATAAATGTAACCAAAGCCGTCTAAGATTGAGGAAAGGTGTACACGTTCGTAAATACTTGCGTAACTGCTTCGTGAATCTGGGTCCAGGGCCTCGTCAGTATTACATGGATTTCGATAGCATTTCGACATTGCATGTTTGAATGGCAGCAGCATGACCAGTAAAGCTATTGTTGTTGGCGGGCCAGAGACTCCACGCAGCCATCACAGTCTGGCTAAGTCGGGGACTTCCTGCGGAAGCTTGTCCCGTTCCTTCATTTCTCATATTGATATAATGTTAACTCATAGACCCCGGATGTTGGCTCGGGGTTCTGTCTCCTCCAGTAGTCCTTCATCTCATTGTTTATTATTCTACATCTGGCATCGTATCCCTCACTCCAATTAGTTTTTTATTGTGTAGATTAGATTAGGATTCTGATATTTCACTCCTTGTTCTTTCCAGATTATATATTTTGAATGCCGTGAGGTTGATGGTTTCAGTACTCTAAAGGCTTTATCAGCCCTTTGGATATTTCTTGCTTGGGTTTGTCAGCCATCTTGAATATAATTTACAATTATCAAGGGCACAATCAAGCAACAATTGTGTTAAAATGACTAGCAAACAATTTCATTCCAGAGATTCAATATAGCACACAGAAATCACAATAGCGTGATGCATCAAATGAACAAATCCACAAGAGTTGTGACCATGTCGTAGCTCAGTCGATTAAGGCAGCGTCTGGGATGCTCTCGGACGCAGGTTCGAATCCTCGTCACGGCCCCTTGTGGGTTTGTTCATGCAATATAAGTTATCTTAATTGAAAGGTCCAAATATTCGTAAGTGCTTGCGTAACCGCTTCGTGAATCTGACCTCAGTTCACCAAGGAATATTCCCCTGAAACGAATGTACTTATAACAACCATTCGGTCAAACGTACAAAAATGCACTGTTGCCGCCTATAATGTTCACCTTATGTACTATATTAATTTGTAGAGGTAATGATAAATAAAGTAAATAACTAAATGTAAATATTTTTTTAAGCCTGGTATAACACAAGTATACACTATTTAAGCCTAAGATATCAGATTTTTTTAAGCCTAGGATTGCTTGGACAATAACTTTTTAGTAGTTATTTTTTTAATTTATTAAGACTTTTGAGCTAATTCCGTAATACAAAACGTGAACATTTTGGGGTCCAACAGTGTAATTTTTGTACGTTTGACTAAATAGTTGTTATAAGTACTATCATAACTGGTTAATTCACCTAGTTGTATTCACCTAGTTGTGTTTGCGGGGGTTGAGTTTTGCTCTTTCTGCCCGCCTCTCAACTGTTTACTATTTTTTTTCCCCCATACCACACACATACACCCCCCCCCCCAGGATGCAGCCCGTGACAGCTGACTAACTCCCAGGTACCTATTTACTGCTAGGTAACAGGGGCATTCAGGGTGAAAGACACTTTGCCCATTTGTTTCTGCCTCGTGCGGGAATCGAACCCGCGCCACAGAATTACGAGTCCTGCGCGCTATCCACCAGGCTACGAGGCCCCAAATGGGCCTTTTTGGGGCTGAATTAATTATTAAGTTAATGGGCTGAATACAGTACGTTTACGAATTGATTACACCAGAACTATTGAGTCACACTGTACCACCGTGAGCTTCCATAAGATTGATTACACCAGAACTATTGAGTCACACTGTACCACCGTAAGCTTCCATAAGATTGATTACACCAGAACTATTGAGTCACACTGTACCACCGTGAGCTTCCATAAGAATTGTAATGTATAATTGCCTTGTAAAACTTATGTATATGTGATTTATATTATATTTTCTTAAATAAAGATAAAAAAAAATAAGAACCCTAATGATCTGTTCTTCTCCCTTCCTCACGTTGTATGATGTTATTGTTATAGATTCAGCTACTCGGAACAAGTTCCAAGTAGCACGGGCTATGGTGAGCCCGTAACTTACCTGGCACAGGAGCGGGGCAAGTAGCACGGGCTATGGTGAGCCCGTAACTTACCTGGCACAGGAGCGGGGCAAGTAGCACGGGCTATGGTGAGCCCGTAACTTACCTAGCACAGGAGCGGGGCAAGTAGCACGGGCTATGGTGAGCCCGTAACTTACCTAGCACAGGAGCGGGGCAAGTAGCACGGGCTATGGTGAGCCCGTAACTTACCTAGCACAGGAGCGGGGCAAGTAGCACGGGCTATGGTGAGCCCGTAACTTACCTGGCACAGGAGCGGGGCAAGTAGCACGGGCTATGGTGAGCCCGTAACTTACCTGGCACAGGAGCGGGGCAAGTAGCACGGGCTATGGTGAGCCCGTAACTTACCTAGCACAGGAGCGGGGCAAGTAGCACGGGCTATGGTGAGCCCGTAACTTACCTAGCACAGGAGCGGGGCAAGTAGCACGGGCTATGGTGAGCCCGTAACTTACCTAGCACAGGAGCGGGGCAAGTAGCACGGGCTATGGTGAGCCCGTAACTTACCTAGCACAGGAACGGGGCACGTTATATTCTTTCTCCCTTTCTATATATAGAGAGAGAGCACCATTCCTTTCTACCGTCCCATCCCAAATTCTTATCCTGACCCCTTCCCAGTGCTATATTGTCGTGATGGCTTGGCGCTCTTCCCTGATATTTCCCTCCCTCCACTGTTCGCCTAATCTAATCGTGTATTATTCTTGTCTCTAATCGTGTATTTTTTCGTTTCTAATCGTGTATTATACTTGTCTGTAATCCTCTTCCCTGGCTCTGATAATCGCTCTCACTTCACACTCAGCAGCACTCCCTCCGTCCGGCAGGTCCCCAGCAGGAGGTCTCTGTGTGGGGCGACACAGTCGAGGATCTACTCTTCTGGGTGCCCAATCGTGCCCCCGTGGGAGTGGGCGTGTCCTTCGCCAGCTACATGGGCGTGGTCAGGGTGGGTGTCAACGTTGATGACGCCCTCATCCACTCACGCCAGGAGGTGAGGAGGGAGAGAGAGAGACAGAAAGAAACAGAGAGGGGAGAAAGACAGAGAGAGAGAGAGAGAGAGAGAGAGAGAGAGAGAGAGAGAGAGAGAGAGAGAGAGAGAGAGAGAGAGAGAGAGAGAGAGAGAGAGAGAGAAATATTAATAATATAAGAATGACTGCTTGCTGTCCATGACCACGATGGACCCAACTAAGAACATGGCAAGTCTCCTGGAGCAGAACTCTGGACACTCATGTTAATTTATGGGGCGGGCTCGGGGTCCTGTTCCCCTCCCTATTACGAAGAGTTAAGTAGGTGGCGGTAGATACGCATGAGTTACAATGGTGCATGAGTTACAATGGTGCATGAGTTACAATGGTGTATAAGTGACTTGCTTAAAATGTTAAGGTAGGAATTATACCAGGGTTGTGTAAGTACCTCTTGGTTGTTTAGCACATACACTGACGAGGTCAAGACGAGGTCAAGACGGGGTCAAGAGGAGGTCAAGACGGGGTCATGGGAGGTCAGGAAGTCAGGGTTCAGAGTATAAGATGAAGGTGTGGTTCTGGTGTTCACATTGCTGCTAAGTTATGATCCTGAGCGTTCAAGAAATATTGTTATTCTCAACATTACTGTTTATAATGTTTCAGTGTTTACAAGTGGAGTGTTATGACACAGGGCGCAGATGTTGGAGCTGTAACTCTGTGTCTCTTTATTTCCTGGCGAGGTAGGCCCAGGTGCTGCTGCAGGACATGGAGGACGAGCTCCACACCCTCTACCACTACCTCCTGCTGGAGGAGTAGCTCCAGACACCCCTGTTGGAGGAGGACCTCCACAGACACCTGTTGGAGGAGGACCTCCACAGACACCCCTGTTGGAGGAGGACCTCCACAGACACCTGTTGAAGGAGCAGCTCCACTGTGAACACTGGTACACTGTGAACACTGTGAGCACTTGTACACTGTAAACACTGTGAACACTGGTACATTGTCAACACTGTGAACACTGGTACACTGTGAACACTGGTACACTGTGAACACAGATACACTGTGAACACTGGTACACTGTGAACACTGGTACACTGTGAACACTGGTACACTGTGAACACTGGTACACTGTGAACACTGGTACACTGTGAACACTGGTACACTGTGAACACTGGTACACTGTGAGCACTGGTACACTGTAAACACTGTGAACACTGGTACACTGTGAACACTGTGAACACTGGTACACTGTGAACACTGGTACACTGTGAACACTGGTACACTGTGAACACTGTGAACACTGGTACACTGTGAACACTGGCACACTGTGAACACTGGCACACTGTGAACACTGGTACACTGTGAACACTGGTACACTGTGAACACTGGTACACTGTGAACACTGGCACACTGTGAACACTGGTACACTGTGAACACTGGTACACTGTGAACACTGGTACACTGTGAACACTGTGAACACTGGTACACTGTGAACACTGTGAACACTGGTACACTGTGAACACTGGTACACTGTGAACACTGTGAACACTGGCACACTGTGAACACTGGTACACTGTGAACACTGGTACACTGTGAACACTGGTACACTGTGAACACTGTGAACACTGGTACACTGTGAACAACACTGTGAACACTGGTACACTGTGAACACTGGTACACTGTGAACACTGTGAACACTGGTACACTGTGAACACTGGTACACTGTGAACACTGGTACACTGTGAACACTGGTACACTGTGAACACTGGTACACTGTGAACACTGGAACACACACTGTGAACACTGGTACACTGTGAACACTGGTACACTGTGAACACTGGTGAACACTGTGAACACTGTGAACACTGGTACACTGTGAACACTGTGAACACTGGTACACTGTGAACACTGGTACACTGTGAACACTGTGAACACTGGTACACTGTGAACACTGGTACACTGTGAACACTGGTACACTGTGAACACTGGTACACTGTGAACACTGGTACACTGTGAACACTGGTACACTGTGAACACTGGTACACTGTGAACACTGTGAACACTGGTACACTGTGAACACTGGTACACTGTGAACACTGTGAACACTGGTACACTGTGAACACTGGCACACTGTGAACACTGGTACACTGTGAACACTGGTACACTGAACACTGAACACTGGTACACTGTGAACACTGGTACACTGTGAACACTGGAACACTGTGAACACTGTGAACACTGTGAACACTGTGAACACTGTGAACACTGTGAACACTGGTACACTGTGAACACTGGTACACTGTGAACACTGGTACACTGTGAACACTGGCACACTGTGAACACTGGTACACTGTGAACACTGGTACACTGTGAACACTGGTACACTGTGAACACTGGTACACTGTGAACACTGTGAACACTGGTACACTGTGAACTCTGGTACACTGTGAACACTGGTACACTGTGAACACTGTGAACACTGGTACACTGTGAACTCTGGTACACTGTGAACACTGGTACACTGTGAACTCTGGTACACTGTGAACACTGGTACACTGTGAACACTGTGAACACTGGTACACTGTGAACACTGGTACACTGTGAACACTGGTACACTGTGAACACTGGCACACTGTGAACACTGGCACACTGTGAACACTGGTACACTGTGAACACTGGTACACTGTGAACACTGGTACACTGTGAACACTGTGAACACTGGCACACTGTGAACACTGGCACACTGTGAACACTGGTACACTGTGAACACTGTGAACACTGGCACACTGTGAACACTGGCACACTGTGAACACTGGTACACTGTGAACACTGGTACACTGTGAACACTGGTACACTGTGAACACTGTGAACACTGGCACACTGTGAACACTGGCACACTGTGAACACTGGTACACTGTGAACACTGGTACACTGTGAACACTGTGAACACTGTGAACACTGGTACACTGTGAACACTGGTACACTGTGAACACTGGTACACTGTGAACACTGGTACACTGTGAACACTGTGAACACTGGTACACTGTGAACACTGTGAACACTGGTACACTGTGAACACTGGTACACTGTGAACACTGGTACACTGTGAACACTGTGAACACTGTGAACACTGGTACACTGGCACACTGTGAACACTGGTACACTGTGAACACTGGTACACTGTGAACACTGGTACACTGTGAACACTGGTACACTGTGAACACTGGTACACTGTGAACACTGGTACACTGTGAACACTGTGAACACTGGTACACTGTGAACACTGGTACACTGTGAACACTGTGAACACTGGTACACTGTGAACACTGGTACACTGTGAACACTGGTACACTGTGAACACTGTGAACACTGTGAACACTGGTACACTGTGAACACTGGTACACTGTGAACACTGGTACACTGTGAACACTGGCACACTGTGAACACTGGTACACTGTGAACACTGGTACACTGTGAACACTGGTACACTGTGAACACTGGTACACTGTGAACACTGGTACACTGTGAACACTGGTACACTGTGAACACTGGTACACTGTGAACACTGGTACACTGTGAACACTGGCACACTGTGAACACTGGTACACTGTGAACACTGGTACACTGTGAACACTGTGAACACTGGTACACTGTGAACACTGGTACACTGTGAACACTGGCACACTGTGAACACTGGTACACTGTGAACACTGGTACACTGTGAACACTGGTACACTGTGAACACTGGTACACTGTGAACACTGGTACACTGTGAACACTGGTACACTGTGAACACTGGCACACTGTGAACACTGGTACACTGTGAACACTGGTACACTGTGAACACTGGCACACTGTGAACACTGGTACACTGTGAACACTGGTGAACACACACTGTGAACACTGGTACACTGTGAACACTGGTACACTGTGAACAACACTGTGAACACTGGTACACTGTGAACACTGGCACACACACTGTGAACACTGGTACACTGTGAACACTGGTACACTGTGAACACTGGCACACTGTGAACACTGTGAACACTGGTACACTGTGAACACTGTGAACACTGGTACACTGTGAACACTGGTACACTGTGAACACTGTGAACACTGGTACACTGTGAACACTGGTACACTGTGAACACTGGTACACTGTGAACACTGGTACACTGTGAACACTGGTACACTGTGAACACTGTGAACACTGGTACACTGTGAACACTGGTACACTGTGAACACTGTGAACACTGGTACACTGTGAACACTGTGAACACTGGTACACTGTGAACACTGGTACACTGTGAACACTGGTACACTGTGAACACTGGTACACTGTGAACACTGGTACACTGTGAACACTGGTACACTGTGAACACTGGTACACTGTGAACACTGGTACACTGTGAACACTGGTACACTATGAACACTGGTACACTGTGAACACTGGTACACTGTGAACACTGGTACACTGTGAACACTGGCACACTGTGAACACTGGTACACTGTGAACACTGGTACACTGTGAACACTGGTACACTGTGAACACTGTGAACACTGGTACACTGTGAACACTGGTACACTGTGAACACTGTGAACACTGGTACACTGTGAACACTGGTACACTGTGAACACTGGTACACTGTGAACACTGGTACACTGTGAACACTGGTACACTGTGAACACTGGTACACTGTGAACACTGTGAACACTGGTACACTGTGAACACTGTGAACACTGGTACACTGTGAACACTGTGAACACTGGTACACTGTGAACACTGTGAACACTGGTACACTGTGAACACTGGTACACTGTGAACACTGGTACACTGTGAACACTGGTACACTGTGAACACTGTGAACACTGGTACACTGTGAACACTGGTACACTGTGAACACTGGTACACTGTGAACACTGGTACACTGTGAACACTGGTACACTGTGAACACTGGTACACTGTGAACACTGGTACACTGTGAACACTGGTACACTGTGAACACTGGTACACTGTGAACACTGGTACACTGTGAACACTGGCACACTGTGAACACTGGTACACTGTGAACACTGGCACACTGTGAACACTGGTACACTGTGAACACTGGTACACTGTGAACACTGGTACACTGTGAACACTGGCACACTGTGAACACTGGTACACTGTGAACACTGGTACACTGTGAACACTGGCACACTGTGAACACTGGTACACTGTGAACACTGGTACACTGTGAACACTGGTACACTGTGAACACTGGTACACTGTGAACACTGGCACACTGTGAACACTGGCACACTGTGAACACTGGTACACTGTGAACACTGGCACACTGTGAACACTGGTACACTGTGAACACTGGTACACTGTGAACACTGGTACACTGTGAACACTGGCACACTGTGAACACTGGTACACTGTGAACACTGGCACACTGTGAACACTGGTACACTGTGAACACTGGTACACTGTGAACACTGGTACACTGTGAACACTGGTACACTGTGAACACTGGTACACTGTGAACACTGGTACACTGTGAACACTGGTACACTGTGAACACTGGTACACTGTGAACACTGTGAACACTGGTACACTGTGAACACTGGTACACTGTGAACACTGTGAACACTGGTACACTGTGAACACTGGTACACTGTGAACACTGGTACACTGTGAACACTGGTACACTGTGAACACTGGTACACTGTGAACACTGTGAACACTGGTACACTGTGAACACTGGTACACTGTGAACACTGTGAACACTGGTACACTGTGAACACTGGTACACTGTGAACACTGGTACACTGTGAACACTGGTACACTGTGAACACTGGTACACTGTGAACACTGTGAACACTGGTACACTGTGAACACTGGTACACTGTGAACACTGGTACACTGTGAACACTGGTACACTGTGAACACTGGTACACTGTGAACACTGGTACACTGTGAACACTGTGAACACTG